TCCTTTGGTTGGAGTGCCAGGTTGTGTGTCTTCATTGACTTTGACGTGCAGAAGGGGGCTTCCCCCTGGAGGATCTCAGAGCTGCCAATTCCACAACCCGCCTCCCAAGGACCGCAGCTGCAGAACTGCTTCACCCGTCTACAGAGGCTTCCGAAGGAAGTGATGGCCCCAGGGTGAAAAATCAGCTGCAGGCGAATCGGAAAGGGACTCCTTTGTGTTGGAGTCAGGCAGGCGGATCTCGAAGCCCTGGTCTGAGTGGCACCCATGAGCTGGGTTCGGAGCGGTTTGGGAGGGACATACTAGACACTGTGGCAGCAGGTGGAATCAAGGGCCACTCAGTCTTGTGATGGCGTGGTCAGTCTGGGGTGAGCTGCCGCTATGACTTTTGTACCACTCCAAAATTAGAATAACCAGACGCATCTGACATGTAACCCCTACCATGAGGGGAACACGTGTGCAAGCCCCTCCTGAGGACAAGCCTGAACAAAGCCTGACCAAGATTAAAAACCCTTTGCCTCAGTTCCTCTTCAGGAGAGCATCTTCCAGGACCCCTCCCTGGCTGGGAGCTGTTCTCCTTCAATAAACTCCAAGTTGCTACCCCCTCTCTATGGCCGCATCTCTTAATCTTCACGAGTCCCATCCGAGAACCAGCCTTGCTCTCCCTCTCTCGGGGTGGGGGTGGGGGGGGTCTCTGCCAAGGCCCAGAGGTGGGACCAGGCTTTGGTATTCTCAGGACACAGAGAGGCTGGGACAGCTGGAGAGAACGAGCCGTGGGAGGGAGGCCAGGGACTTGGGGTAGGGGAGTGGCTGGAAGCGCCTTTAACGCAGGGGCCGGGAGGAAATCAGGGTGATCTCTTTACTCCCCTGAGCCGAAGCTCCAGGGAGCCTGCTTTGTTTAGACCCCTTCCTGGCCACCACCTGCGTGACATGGAACATTTTCCCAAACATTTAATCCCTTAATCTGGCCCCTCAGCGCAGTCAGCTCTTTATCACGCAGGACCGTCTGCTGTTCCGGCCAAGCAGTAAATAACTCCGGAGATCTGACTTCTAAGGCGTTTATCTCTTTTGTCCTCTCCCAATTTGGAGAAAGGACATTCACGTTTCCCTCGGAGAACAGGGGCATCTACACTTGATCTCTCCGCACACCCGCTCTCTGGGGCTGCCACTGGGAAGGTGCGGACGCGGGATGCCCAGGCCGAGGTGGGGAAGAACGTTTGTTTCTGATCTCCAGATTCTGTTAAATTTCACAAATGAGGCTTCTGCAGAAACAGGCTGAGCAGAAAGCTAGAGGCTGCATCTAAGACTCAGAGCAGTATTAATCACCCCCGGGAGGAGCCTGGGGCAACTGTCATGTTCGGTCAGGATTAAACACAGCGAGGCCCCAACCAGGGCCCAGTTCAGTTAATTCTGTGGAAAATGAACTAAGAGCCAGTGGCACGTGACTGCCCTGCCTGCTGCTTGGGACTACGGGCAAGGGCACAGTACTTAAGGGACAGCGAGGAAGGCGTGCAGAGAGCGGCTGGAATGGAAGACCCGCGTCGTCTCTGGGGACAACCACCATCCCCTTAAACCTTCCTCTACCAGCGGTTGGCTTACTGTTCATTTTCACTTTTCATGAATTTGATGACCAGTAAGGGCGAGGGGGAGGGGGGGACGGGGGGGGGGAAGGAGCCGTGGGAGGGAGGCCAGGGACTTGGGGTAGGGGAGTGGCTGGAAGCGCCTTTAACGCAGGGGCCGGGAGGAAATCAGGGTGATCTCTTTACTCCCCTGAGCCGAAGCTCCAGGGAGCCTGCTTTGTTTAGACCCCTTCCTGGCCACCACCTGCGTGACATGGAACATTTTCCCAAACATTTAATCCCTTAATCTGGCCCCTCAGCGCAGTCAGCTCTTTATCACGCAGGACCGTCTGCTGTTCCGGCCAAGCAGTAAATAACTCCGGAGATCTGACTTCTAAGGCGTTTATCTCTTTTGTCCTCTCCCAATTTGGAGAAAGGACATTCACGTTTCCCTCGGAGAACAGGGGCATCTACACTTGATCTCTCCGCACACCCGCTCTCTGGGGCTGCCACTGGGAAGGTGCGGACGCGGGATGCCCAGGCCGAGGTGGGGAAGAACGTTTGTTTCTGATCTCCAGATTCTGTTAAATTTCACAAATGAGGCTTCTGCAGAAACAGGCTGAGCAGAAAGCTAGAGGCTGCATCTAAGACTCAGAGCAGTATTAATCACCCCCGGGAGGAGCCTGGGGCAACTGTCATGTTCGGTCAGGATTAAACACAGCGAGGCCCCAACCAGGGCCCAGTTCAGTTAATTCTGTGGAAAATGAACTAAGAGCCAGTGGCACGTGACTGCCCTGCCTGCTGCTTGGGACTACGGGCAAGGGCACAGTACTTAAGGGACAGCGAGGAAGGCGTGCAGAGAGCGGCTGGAATGGAAGACCCGCGTCGTCTCTGGGGACAACCACCATCCCCTTAAACCTTCCTCTACCAGCGGTTGGCTTACTGTTCATTTTCACTTTTCATGAATTTGATGACCAGTAAGAGAACAGAGAGTCTTCAGGTGAAGCAGAGAGGGGGCCAGGATCCTGCCACCCCCGCTGGCCCTCGCTGCTTTCTGCCTACATTTGCCCTCAGCCTTATGCCCTAGGGTTCCCCAGGGAGCAGCTGGGAACCCCTAGTCTTTGCCTGCCACCAATGGGCAGAGGCCCAGTCAGGAGCAGCTGATCTGATGCCCCCTACAGGGCACCGGCCTCAGTGCATGGACTTTGCGGCCACGGCAGGAGGACCTGGAGGCATTCGGTCTCCCAGGCTTCCCTCAGTCATTACTGAGCTGTGCTGGGCCATGGGATGACACAGCCTTCGCTTCCAGCATGTGTGTTTGTGTGTGTGGGGGGGTGGGGACTGTCCCAGCTAGTCCAGAAAGTACCACCCTAGGGAAGGTACTTCAGCACAGGGCTGAAGGATGCTGAAGGAAGGGAGCGAAGAATCTTCCAGGCAGAGGAACAGCAGTTAGTGACACTGTGCTGGACACCATCCTGGGTGTAGACACCATTGTGGGTGTAGGCACCATCCTGGGTGTAGGCACCATCCTGGGTGTAGATCCCATCCTGGTGTAGGCACCATCCTGGTGTACACCCCATCCTGGTGTAGGCACCATCGTGGTGTAGGCACCATCATGGTGTAGGCACCATCCTGGTGTAGGCCCCATCCTGGGTGTAGACCCCATCCTGGGTGTAGACCCCATCCTGGTGTAGACCTCATCCTGGGTGTAGACCCCATCCTGGTGTAGACCCCATCCTGGTGTAGACCCCATCCTGTTGTAGACCCCATCCTGATGTAGACCTCATCCTGGTATACACCCAATCCTGGTGTAGGGACCATCATTGTGTAGGCACCTCTTGGTGTAGACCCCATCGTGGTGTAGATCCCATCCTGGTGTAGACCCCATCCTGGGTATAGGCCCCATCCTGGTGTAGACCCCATCCTGGTGTAGACTCCATCCTGGGTATAGGCCCCATCCTGGTGTAGGCCCCATCCTGGTGTAGGCACCATCGTGGTGTAGACCCCATCGTGGTGTAGACCCCATCGTGGTGTAGACCCCATCCTGGTGTAGATCCTAACCTGGTGTAGACCCCATCCTGGTGTAGGCACCATCGTGGGAGGAGACACCATCCTGGTGTAGATCCCATCCTGGTGGAGACCCCATCCTGGGTGTAGGCCCCATCCTGGTGTAGACCCCATCCTGGTGTAGGCCCCATCCTGGTGTAGGCACCATCGTGGGAGGAGACACCATCCTGGACAGGCCCCTGAGGGGGCGTCAGGTCACTGGAGCAGCTCCCGACCCAGTGCGTTCGTTACGATCGCGAACCCGCATCCTCTGTAGCTGAGAATTGTGCTTTACGCTCCCTGAGGAGAGCCCGCACGGGCACCGGCACACCCTGCGCGTCCAGCTGTGAATACTCAGGAAGCAGCCATACAGCCAGTACACATCAGGAAACAGCAGGCCAGCCCCGGAGACCCCGGGACCAGCCATCGCTGCCGGGGGTCTGCTCCCGGCTTCTCCCAGCGAGGCGCCAGCTCCGCCTGTGTGAACCAGACGGAAGTGGAGTCACTGCTCTGATCTGGCCTTTCCCCTGAGCAGGACGTCGGCGAAATGCAGCCACGCCTCGTGCATTTGTTCACTCGCTGCGTGATCTCAAATTCCCAGAGCTCCGTGAGCTCACAGGGGTGATGATACGTGTGTATGTGTGGCCACATGTATACATGTGCATATGCACATACATGCATGTACACTTACATGTATATTCGCATAAAAGGGCTCTTCAAAAAGATGTAAAATTACTGTATAAAAACTACGTATGGATTTCAAAATTGTTGCACTCCTACTTTAATTCCTTTTCCTCAGACTTTCTGAAGTCCCCTTGGAGATGTGTACGTGTGTGTGCGTGTGTGGGTGTGTGCTGCCCACCTCACAAGGCCCACACTAAACGTGCACACCACTCTCCAGCAAGCATAACAAGATTGACTTTTCCTTTTGCTGCTGGGCTTTATCATTTCAGTTTGGGCCATCGTGCATTGTCAGGGCCAGTAGGTGGCATGGTGGTTAAGGCACTGCACTCCAGTATAGTCGGCTGCAGTTCGAGTCCCAGACCGAGCAGCCTGAAACTCGCACTGAGCACGTGTGCATGTGTGCCCAAAGTCCCAGGAGAATGGAGAAGGGATCGTGGCGTGGCCATTACCCCGAGGCACGATTTCTCACTTCGCCTGTCTTTCTCTAGTGGGCACATGTGCCCTATAGCAAATTTTTCTAAAAAAGAAGAAAAGAGAAATGGGTTAGCTTTCACCCTCAGAGCAGCCCTCTGAGACCACGATCATTGCTCCCCTGTGATGGCCGCTCCCAGGGCACGGAACGCGGTCAGAGGGGCCCTGCGACCTGCCACGGTGCACAGCCTCTGGCCTCTCTGGGAGTCTCCCGGCGCTGCTGACACTTGTCTCTCCCCACAGGCCGAGGAGGTGGGCGTGCCCGGAGCCCCCCAGGAGCCCCTGGATGCCCACTGCCCGCCGCCCCCGCAGACGCTGCCCCCAGGCGCCTGCCAAGCAGCGCGCTGCCAGGCCGACTCCGAGTGTCCGCGACACGAACGCTGCTGCTACAATGGCTGGCGCCACACACGGCCTGGGGGG